ATGGTAAATCTGGAAAATAAAAATCACCGAATCCATCTTCTCCAAAATATTTATCCATAACGGAAGTTCCTAATATTGAATTATTTAAACCTTTGTAAATGGGAATCTTAAACAATAAGAAAAATGATTGAAATTAAATTTTTTTTTTTTTTATGTCAAAGGTAAAGGAGTATTTTCAAATGCTCACATCCAAACGATTCGCTGTTTTTAATATTTTCAATACGTTTTTTCCAACATTATCCACGTCCGTATTACCAAAAACTGTCGTTATAAAAATTGTTTTCACTCCTCCCGTCCATACTTCAGCACCTAAAAAATTTAATATGGCGACACCATCATCCGATCCGGCATCCGTATCGATAATTATCATTTTACTTTCATCCTAAAAAATTAAAAATATTAAATTTTGACAATCACAAATTTTTTTTTTTTTTAATTGAAACAAATCATTTATTTAATAATGTAAATAATTACATTACAAAATTGATTTAATTAAAAATAAATTGTGGCAAAAATAATTTTTTACAGGATAATTACAACTAATTGGAAAATAATAACGACAATTCGAATTTGTTGAATTGAAATCAAAATTTTGTTTAATTTCTTCCTTCTTTTTAACTCTTAATTTAATATAAAATTCAATTCTTACAATTTATTTACTAATAAATAAATTATCGCGCGTGAAAGAAAATAATAATAATAATAATGAGTGAAACCGTAACGTATAAACTAGGAACACAAAAAAATTATTACATAACGTACCTAAATAAAAAAAAAAAAAAAAAAAAAAATTGCGTTCGTTGCCTATGTTAAACAAAAGAAAGTTTTTTTTTTTTGTAACAGATCTAAAAAGATAAATAATTTTATTTTTTTTTACAGTTTAACAGTTTCAAAAAAATAAAAAAATTCCTTATAAAGCATCAAACTAATAATAAAAACAGGAATTACGTAACAACGACAAACTTTTTTATAACAAAAAAATTTTATATTAATATCTTTCTAAAATAAATTTATTAATTAACTCACGAGTTCTTATTTAAATATACAAATTATTATTATTATTAACTAGAAATTAATTACAGTACACACGTTTGAAAAAAGAGAAAAATTTTGATTTCGTTGATGATTAATAATTCAATTAAATAAAAAATTATTAAATAAATAATAAAAAATTATTAATTACCTTTAAATGAGCAGAATTTTCATTATTATCATATCCTTTATTAAGTAATTTATAAAATACATCAAATCCTGATGATTCACAATTGGCACATGATCTAAAAATAAAAAAAAAAATTTAATTAATAATAATAATACTTACAACAGTACATTTTTTTTTTAGTACATTTTTTTACTTACAAAAATTTAAATATTATATATAAAAAACCCAAGTTTATTAAATTCATTTTAAACAGTTTTTTAAAAAGAAAAACACATAGAAACAAAATGTTTTTAAAAAAAAAAAAATTTTTTTTTTCTTTCCTTAATACCTTTAATTAGAAAAAAGGTGATAAGAAAAATAAATTAATTTTAATCACTGTATTGAATGACAACAACATTTTACACACAAAAGATAATTAAAAACAATTTTTTTTTTTTTCTGTGATAACAATAAACGTCATCTTAAACAGTTTGCACAGAAAATAATTATTATTATTATATTTATATATATATATATGAATATTTAATTTAGTTTATTTGTTTTAGATAAAACATGTTTCAACAAAATAAAACTTGATTCCCTATTATCGTAGTAATTTATTAATAAAAAAAAAAAAAAATTATTACACACGATTGAAAAAAGGTTAATAATAAATAATTATTTTACATCATTATACAAATCAAAATGAATATATTTTATTTGTTATAAATAATTAAAATTTAAATAAGTATTTTGTCATTAGTATATAACAATATGTTACGTTATTTTAGCTTAATGGTTAGAGTGAAAACGACGAGGATAACGATTAATAAATTGTTTAAAAAAAAAAAAACACTAAAAATAATTAACCATAGACATTAAATAATGTTTATTCCGTTTATATAAATAAACAAAATTTTTTTTTTTTTTTTTTTTTGCTTAAAATTTTTTCGAAAAATTAAAATGATGACGAAAATGATTCCAAAAATTGTTCGACATTATAATTATTATTCGGATTATTGTAAAATTTCTTGTGAATATGATAAAATCGATTATTTTATCGATACGTATGGTAAAAAAATCAATAAGTATGAACCTGGCATACCTCGTATGATCGATACGAAAAATAAACAAATTAATTCGGATGTATTAAAAACAACGAATAAAAAATTTATTAAAAAAAAAAAAACGTGTTCGAAACCGTTTTCATCATCATCGAGAACTTTGAAAACTAAAGATCTCTGGTTCAGGTACGTAAATAAAAAAAAATTATAAAAATAAAACAGGTTGTGCGGAATTTGTATTAAAAATTATGTTAATGTTCATTTGAATTTGTATTTTACATTAAAAATAAAATAAAAAATTTTTTTAATATAATTTTTGTGACGTAATTTTTTATTAGAGAGAAAATAAAAGATTTTCCGAAAAAGAGAAGGTGCAAGCAGAATGATTTAAATACCTGTACGTATGCCCAGCACCCTCCCAAGCCCAAAAAAAAAAATTAAAAGTTTTGAAAAATGTCTATAAAATGCCATGAAAAATTTTTTTTTTTTTTTTTTTTAGATTTGAAAAAAAAATATTCGACGATATTAAAAACTTCCCCGTGTGTTTTCTGTTTGGGTAGTTTATACGATGGGGGTTATTTACACGATTTACACGAAAAAATCCCGTTTATAAAAAAACAAAGCGAAGAATATGGAGATGATGTTTCCATGAGAATTGGAATGAGAAGCAGAATTACCGTACATAAAAAATGTTACGATGATTATATAGATCGTTCAAAGCATAAAGACATAATACTTAAAAATTCAAACAGTGAAGATTTTTCAAATTGTTCCGTAAAAACGGTTATAAGTGAAGATGAAATCATTCAAGAACCTCCAAAAATTAAACCATTTTTCTGTTTGAAAAAATTTAAACCTCCCCAATTGGATCCTGGTAAGTTTTTAAATGACCTATTCATTTTTTTTTGTTAACATTTGTACGACTCAATCATTTTACAATAAAAAATCCCCTCGAACGTTTTAATTAAAAAAAAAAAAAAAAAAAAAAAATTTGCGGATTTTCATTCAATTAAAATAAATATTATTATTATTATTATTATTATTATTATTATTACCTTGTAACGTTTGAGTGAATTTACACGAACGTTCCAGTTCAGAATAATTATCCAAATATTTTAAATGATTTATTTAACGATGTGGAATGATAAAATCTATAAAAAAAAAAAAAAATTAAATCAATTATTAAAAATTAAATTAAATATGTTGTTGTTGTTTAAATATAAACGTAACTATATATTAATTATTATTATTATTATAAATAAATAAAAAGTAAATTAATAGTTTAGTTAAAAAAAAAAAAAAAAAACGTTTTCAAGGACGCAACTAGGCAACCCTTTAAAAAAATATCAATAATATTATTTAATAAAAAAAAAAGCAAAAAACTTTTCAAAAATCAATCATCGAACATCTTTTTAAATATTTAATAAAATAATTATTTAGATTTTCTACAACTTTTTTATTAATTTTAAGTAAATCCTTTAAAATAAGCCATAAAAAAAAAAAACCAAAACAATTTTTTAAAATTTCTATTTTAGTCATTAGTTTCATAAAATTTCATAAAAGGTATTTTAAATACGTCGATAATGATCAAAACACTTAACTTTAAAATTTATTTATTAAAATTCTATTGTTGGTCATTACAACTTTTTTTTTTTTTTTTTAAACAAATAATCTTTAAGTTTGACGACTCTATTAGCGATTTCAAAAAAAATTATTATAAAAATTAAAATTTATAAAAAAAAAAAAAAAAAAAAAAAAACCAACCAACCAAGGGCTTAAAAAAGTATATTTTTGTGGCAATTTATAAAATTCCAAGACAACGCCCCAATTTTTTTTTTTTTTTTGTTTTATATTAATAAAATATTTAAAACTAACTTCTAGAAAGTTTTTCATTTTTTTTTTTTTTTTTTTTTTTTATGCCCTACAAAAGATATTTCATAAATATTAAAAAACTTAAAAATCGATTTTTAACTTTTCTTTTTTTTTTTTTTTTTTTTTTTTTAACATCCCTCTAATTTATTATTTTAACTACAATATTCAGTATCTTTGTTCGTAAAACTAACAATATTACTAACATTGTGACACATAAAATTCATTTTTTTTCTCCTTTTTCTCTCTCTCTCTCTCAAATTTATTTATTTATATTTTAAGTAATAATAATAATAATAATTTTTTTTGTGTGTTTTTTTTTTTTCATTATTAGAACTCGAAGATAAATTATTGAGATACAGATTAATTGTTTTGTGCCAATAAATAAAAAAAATGGGAAAGTACAAACCTCACGGATTGGTTGCGGATCTTTGGCCAAACGTACGTTTAATGCAATTATCAGGACATTTTTTATTCGAGTATCACGATAATAATTCTGCTATTAATGTACTTGCGAGAAAAATTTACTCTTGGGTTCATTTGGTGAGTTTTCATATTGGATTCTGTTCAAAAAAAAAAAGAAAAAAAGTATTAGTTGAAAACAAAATAAATTTTTTTTTTTTTTTTTTCGATAGGTATTAATATTAATAAATTATTCGGCCATAATTGCAAATCTTGCTATGGAATCCGATGATGTAAATGCTCTTGCTGCTAATTCCATAACAGTTTTGTTTTTTGCTCATTGCGTAACAAAATTTTTACATTTCGCAATAAGAAGACAAAAATTTTACAGAGTTCTCGGAACGTGGGATACGCAAAACAGTCATCCGTTGTTTGCTGAAAGTCACGCCAGACACAGAGCATTAGCCATAAGAAAATCTAGAAAACTTTTAATGATAGCCGGTAATATTACTTATTAATAGCAAATTATTCGCCTCATATAAATGTATTTTCCTTTTTATTCTATCGGTTTTTCTTAAATATTAAATTATAATAATCTTTAATAGATTAATAGTAATCGTTGCCTTTATCGTACTAGACTCTATCATTTCCTTCTTTCTAATTATGTGATGGTGATGTCGTACATTTTTTTTTTTTTTTTTTTTTTTGACTTTTTCCTCCTTCCTTTTTCTTTCTGGGAAAAAAAAAGTGAAAATTTTCAAATTATTTTTTAATATTTTTTTCATTAAGCCGAACATTACTACGCATTTGTTTTATTATCGCAAAAAGGGAAAATTTTCATTTAAAACGATTTTAACATTTATGTAAACTTATTTTGGCAGTGCTAAAATTTTTTTTTTTTTTTTTTTTGTAATGACAAATGATTGCGCCTTAAAAATGAAAGTCACAAAAAAAACAATTTTTTTTTTTTGCATAAAATTCTGATTCCGCAACGTTTCAAATTGATACATGACACCTTTCTAAACAATTACAATTTTACATGCAGTTACGTAACTAAAATTATTAAAAATTATTGAATTATATGCGTCTTCGGTATCCTTTTTATTTATAAGTTTTTTAGTAATTTTACAATTGATAAAAAAAAAGTAATTTTTACCTTTTTAGTTGTGGGTACTCTTATGACGATAGTCGGTTGGACGGGGTCGACATTTTTCGGAGAGAGTACAAAGACAATTTCGGATCCGGAAAGTGGAAATCAAACCATCACCGTCGAAATTCCTAGACTTATGCTTAGAGCTTGGTATCCTTGGGATTCTTCCAGTAGTTCCTATTATCTCTTAACTTTTTTGTTTCAAGTGAGTTCATTTAAACGTTAAAAAAACCTACAAAAAAAAAAAAAATTTTGGTATTGAACATTGCTTTGTACTCCATATTTTAAAACATTTGTAATGTAATTTTTAAATTGTACTGCGCAAAAAAAAAAACTTACATCTTATAATTTTTTTGAATTTCAGCTGTATTGGATAATTTTTACTCTATTTCATTCAAATTTAGTTGATATTTTATTTTGCTCCTGGCTGATATTTGCTTGTGAGCAACTTCTTCACGTCAAAGAAATAATGAAACCTTTGATTGATTTAAGTTCATCATTGGATACATTTAATCCAAATTCTGCTGATCTTTTCAAAATGACCAATACTAATAATGACTCTGAAAATTTGTATGATTCAAAAAATGGTTTGTAAAAATATGTGAACAATATATATATATGGAAAGTTACACTCAATATCATTACATGATTTTATTTATTTTTCATTTTAGAAAGATCAATGAATATTCGTGGGATTTATTCCAATATTAGAGAATTAAAGGGAAATAGAATAAGTGTAGTTAATCCAGTAGGTACAATGAATGGTATAGGACCTAATGGTTTAACCAAAAAACATGAAATGTTAGTAAGATCAGCTATTAAATATTGGGTTGAACGCCATAAACATATTGTGAGGTATATACAAATATTTTTTTGTGGTATAATTTAGATCTTATGATGACACATGAACTTATATTAAATTAGAAACTTTATATAATTGATTCAGATATGTTAGCAGTATTGGAGAAGCATATGGGTTGGCTCTTCTTATGCACATGTTGACCAGTACAATCACTTTAACCCTTTTGGCATATCAGGCAACTAAGGTATTCTTGAAAGTTTTGTATTTTTTTGTGGAAAAGTTGGTTTAATTTAACTGTAACAAACATTTTAATTTTTATTATTCACAGATTGATAGCTTTGACTTATATGCAATGGCTGTATTGGGATATTTAATTTACTCACTAGCTCAAGTTTTTGTATTTTGTACATATGGAAATCAGTTGATTGAAGAGGTATTTTGTAATGTATCTGCTTTTGAAATTTTCTAAATTTATAAAATGATAAAAAACTTTTTTATTAGAGTTCCTCAGTTGTGGAAGCTGCTTACAGTTGTCAATGGTATGATGGTTCAGAAGAGGCTAAAACTTTTGTACAAATAGTTTGTCAACAATGTCAAAAAGCTTTAAGCATATCAGGAGCCAAATTTTTTACAGTATCACTAGATTTATTTGCATCAGTAAGTACTCATAAGTGATTAATAAATATTAAAAACCATAAATTAATTAATTCTAAATGATATTGTATAAATTATAAATGTAATGATAGAAATGATGGTAGTACCTGCATGATGATTATACATCTTTTTTTTTTTTTAAAATATTGTTGCAAATCTTTTTTACTTACAGGTTTTGGGTGCAGTGGTTACATATTTCATGGTTTTAGTTCAACTGAAATAAGAAAAGAAAAGAAAAGTTTTAGTATTCCATTACATAAGATTAGAATATATTTAATTTATATTATTTATTATAATAAGTATTAAAATTATTTAATTCATAAAATTAAACTTAAATTGCTGACAAGAATTCAAGATGAAAATAAACATAATTATATAAAATGAATAATGTCTTTTTCAAAATTTTTTTCCCCTCTTCGAACCAAAAAAAAAAAAAAAATCAATGCAAAAGTAGTAAAAATAATACCGTAAAAGCACAAAATCAGCTTAAAGCAAATAACACAAATAAGTAAAATAAAAAAAAAAAAAAGTCTAGTAATCAAAACCGCCAAAATGTAAAATTTTCTCAAAATGCAGTTTTGTGGGGAAAAAAACCCCGCGTATTTTACGCTATAAAATGCCTTAACATTGTTTCAAACGTTTTTTCAAAATAATGTAGTTATTACGGTTATTTTAGGTTAATATAATTACTTACTATCATTTATCAATTTTCTATTACTGATTTTTAATAATAATTTTTTAGTTTTTTTTTTTTTTTTTTTTTTAAATCTTATCAACTACTTAAAATTCTTTTTTTTTTTTTTTTTTTTTTTTTTTTGGAGACAAAAATGAAGTGTTGTTCCTATCATTCGTAAAAATATACATAAATGTAAATTTCAACTACATGTCACATTTATTATTAAACAGTCTATTATTTTTCAATTATTTTTTTAATCAAATCATTTCGTAATTAAATATTTTTACTAATGATTTGGCACAAATTTAAATCTAAAATATCAAAACAAAATCTATTATTACAAATGAAAGATTATTTTTCATAAAAATTGTAAAATGCAAGGAAACAATCCAATTTGGCCCAACACTAAACCACAATTTTCAGGCAATGAATCTTCTTTCAAAGATGATAATTTTTCTAACGAGCAACCAACCAATGGAACATTTCAATATGTAAGCAAAATTTAAAAAAATTTTTAATTCTCAAAATTTAAAAATGATAAACTTTTCAATTTTTTTTTTTTTTAAAAACTTAATAAAAATTTTAATTCAGGTTTTGAAAAATCCCAGACCTATGACTTTGGGACAAAGTATTTCTCACGGATCGGCTACCATAAAAAATATTCAAAAATATTCAAATGAAGTTAATCAACATTTGCTAAATAAAAATATCCCTCAAACATCACAGAGCAGAATTCTCAATCATTTAAATCGTAAATCGAATATCTAATCATTCATTTTTAAATTTTCGTATTGGAACGATTAAAATAATTTTATTTTATTTATTTTAGAGGAAAATATGAAATCATGTTCAAGTGAAAATTTTATTATTAACCTTGATGGCAATAATGAGCAGTCAGGGTCAACTGTAGAGGTGAGTTCTAAAAGCATTATTTATTTCATATATAGAGAAATATTTTCAAAAAGATAAACAAATTTTTTTTTTTTTTAATATTTTAGCCTTACTTAAACAGAACAGTTTCTGATTACTGCACAATTGATTTTAATTCAATTGAAAATAATAGTAGATTTCAAAATAATAATAATTTTAATTTGCAATTCAACAGTAATAGTAATCATTCTAATGTATTTGCCAATTCATCTAGTAGCAATATTACTAATACTAATAATAATGAACATGAAATCGAAACTTCCTCAAATCAAGAAAATAATGGTATAAGTTTAACATTTCAAAATTTTTATTTTTACTTAAACTCTTTTCTAAAATAAATCTAATTTTTTTTTTTTTTTTTAGAAATTCAAGCAAATGCAAATTTAAATTTAAATTCTGAAATTCAATCATTGAATAAATTTATTCACAAATACATTCCATTCATAACATTTCTTTTGTTAAAAGCTTTATACGATCATAGAGAAGGTAATAATTTTTAATTAAGCTTTTCCCCTATAGATATTACATTGTTTTCTAAAATTATTATTATTATTATTATTTTTTTTTAGGAGTATTTATTTTTATAGGGTTATTAATAACATTTACTCATGCAAATTCGGTTGTTAAAAGAGAAATAGCTAAACAAAGTCGCAGAAGTCTTTGGTCTTTAAGCATATTATTTCTTAATCTTTTTATTTGTATATGCTTTATATATTATGTTTTTCAGGAACAAAAACTTTATAAAAGGTTTTTTTTTTGTATACCTTAAATGTTTTATCGTGACAAAGAAACTGTTATTTTTTTTCACGTATTAATTTTTATTTTCAGTTTAATTCTTATTCCGCCATATTACCATCCAATAAACGTTTGGGAATTGTTGTGGATAGTTTGTATAACAGACTTTGTGTTAAAATTTATTACAATTCAAATTAAGGCTGGAATGGCTTGTTTTCCTTCGAAATTATTACCTTATGCTTCTAGAGTTAGTAAAATTATTATAAATTATTCAATGTCAAATTTAAAAAAATTTTAAAGAAAACAATTTTTTTCTTTTAGGGAAAATGGTTTCTTATGTTAGAATGCAGCTCTCAACTGTACAGGGGTATAGTCCCCATTCAGCCTTGGCTATATTATTTTATGGAAGCTTATCAAGGTTCAGAAAAAGTGATAGGAGTAATTTTTTCTTTGGCCTATGTTGTATCTAAAGGTACCGAAATAATTGTTAGGGCAAATCATTTTATGAAAGCTTTCCTAAAACTTCTGCGAAATGTGGTAAATATATTTTTATATGAATGGTTAATAATTTTTATGAATATTTGTTTTACAAACTTACCCTATATTATAGAGTTTAGGAGTACGCCCAAGCAAAGAACAATTAGACACAGCCGGCTCTCAATGTCCAATCTGTCATGATGAGTATTGCTTTCCAATTTTATTACAATGTCGACATGTTTTTTGTGAAGCATGCGTCACTACTTGGTTTGACAGGGAACAAACATGTCCTTTATGTAGAACTAAGGTTATTTCCTATATTAATATAAAAAAAAAAAAAATTACTAAAAAATTAACTATTAAAATAATATTTTTCAGATAGTTGATGATCCATCGTGGAGGGATGGCGCTACGTCTTTTTATTCACAATTATTTTAATTTTTTTTTTTAATTTGTAAAACTGTAACATATAAGTTAGTATATAAAAATATAACAAAAAAATTTTACACGTATTTTTATGTATTTTGACTTAAATTTAACCATTTGCAAACATATTTCATTTGTAAATTAATAATTATTTTTGATCATTATTAACGACATTTTGGCATGCTTAATATATGCATTATTTTCCAAAAAAAAAAAAAAAAAAGACAGATTTTTTAAAATTTGTTTTTCTTTAAATGTTTTTCTTTTGTGACAGAATAAAAAAAAAAATAGAAATATTAAGTATATTATAATTAATTTTTTTAATATTAACCTTTTGGACAATTTGTAGAATTTCGAATTCGAAGCTCAACTAAAATTCGAGCCTTTTTATTACCATTGTTTCTAAACCTCAGAATCGTTTTAAAACTAACGCTCTAAATGAACAAAGTGTCATGTCTTTGGCGTATGAAAATTAAACACCTTTATCGATATCAAAAGCTTTTTTTCTATTGTAGAAATTAAATTATAATTAAGCAAAAACTTGTTATCAGTTAATTTTTATTTTTTCATTGCCATTAAGTTGCATATTTTTGTTTTGCAGAATAAAAGAAATAATCGATGACGTCATGATATAAAATTCTTACGCTACGCCATTTTGCAGGGTATATCTTTCTCTGCTTTGGAATGTAAAATATTTTCAGTTTTTAAATTTAATAACTAATTCCAAATACGTGAAGATATTCATATATATGCTTTTATAAAGTGCAATTCTTTTAGTATTTATTGTGTTTGTTTGCTTTTAAATTATTCAAAATTCCGGTCCCTACAAAGAAAAGGGAAGGTGCCCAGCCCGGCCCCGAAGAAGTTAAAATGAATAGCAAGCGAAAAAATCGCTCTAATTCTATAAGGTCAGTGAATTTGAGTATATTTATAATAGAATTTTACAAACATTTTTTTTGTCACTGTTTTTTACATTGTTGATTGTTCGTCTACCCAATTCTTACATTGGCCATGTGTAGATACAGGCTTTTGATTTTGTGAGGTGAATGCCCTACCGCGTAAATAATCTTAATGTTGCTCAGCTGATAGAATCTTAAAATTTCCTAATTAAAATAATAAAATTATTTTTACAATCATATGTATATGCCCCATTAAATCAATGTTTTAAAAAAGTCGATGTTAAGAACTCATCATAAATTTGTTGGAAACTCCAAGGCCATCGATCGAACCAAGACGAACGTTTTTTCTCATATATTTTAAAATATAATTAATTTTCTTATTCGTCTTTATTTAATAAAACTTATTAGAATAATTTATTTAAATGGAAAAACAATTTTATATTTCTTTAAAAAAAAAAAAAAAAAAAGAGGAGTAATTTGATTAAAAAGTAAATTAAGTTCCTATCACAAAATCGTTCTTTGTTTTAAAATTGTTTAAATTGTATTTTTAAATAAAATGAAAAATTAAATACATTTATCTGTATAAATAAATTTTTAGATCTCCCAGAGCTGGAAGAGGTACAGAACATAATATTTCAGCAGAAGGGGTTTACAATAATGCTCATTTTATGCATTCAGTAACAAGTCAAGTGGGAACAACTGTTCAAATTCAAACCACTAATGGTTCTATATATGAAGGAGTTTTTAGAACTTTCTCAAGTCAATTTGAAGTTGTTCTTGATCTTGTACACAAAGTTAATGTTGAAAAAAAAGATGTAATCGATGTAAATACACTTGTGGAAAAAATGATATTTAGACCCCAGGTATTTTCTTTTTTTTTTTTTTTTTTTTTTTTAAATTAATTTTTTAAAATTACTCGGTTAAAATTTTTTAAAGTATATTTTTTAATGGTATTTTTGTTGTTTATTAAATGCACAGGATATTGTATTGATGGAAGCACATGATGTGGATATTGAATATGCTACAAGAGGAAATTTTCAAACAGATGCTGCTATCAGTAAGTTTAATGGTCAAGTTTCAGAAAAAGAACTGGAACCATGGGATGGAGCTGGATGTAATGGCGAAGAGTTTGACTTAAATATCGAAACAGCAGTATGTTAAATTTTTAAACAAATCAAATTGTTTGTTTTGTTGAAATCTATTTATTCAATTTTATTTAAAATATGTAATTCTAAGAAAAACTGAATTTTTTTTTATAGAATGGATGGGATCCTAATGATATGTTTAGGAAAAATGAACAAGTATATGGTGTTCAATCTAGTTTTGATCATTCTTTGGCTGGCTACACCTTGCCTTTAACTAAATCAGATTCTAAAGATTATAAGTAAGTTTTTTATTTTTTTTTTATAGCAAGTTTATTTGATTTGAGTTTGTTATGATTTTTTTTTTTTTTTTTTTTAGGGAAGCTGAAGCAAAAGCAGCAAAAATAGCCTCAGAAATAGAAAATAACCCAAGCTATATAGCTCGGTTAGAAATGGAAAATGGAGATGAGGAAGAAATGTTTGCAGCGGTTGTACGGAATGAGGATGAAGGCCAAGGAACCGCTGCTGATATTAGTGTAAATTCTGAAGGAAAATATGTTCCCCCGGCAAAAAGAAAAGGCAACTCTGCTCAAGGGAAATTAGTCAGAGGTGCTCTTCCAAATAATTGTAATAATAATAATATTAATAGCAACACCAACAATAGCAGCAGCATCAGCAGCAGCAGCAACAATAATATTAATAATAATAATAATAATAATAGTAATAGTTGTAATGTAAGCAAAATTTTAATTTTAATTTTAAACAGGTGTAAAAAACATACGTTAGGATCAAATATATGATTCTTACAAAAAATTTTTTTCACTTTGCAGAATCAGTCAGTAACAACGACTATTAGCAGCAGTAGTACCTGCAATTTAAGCAACAATAATAATTTAAATAGTATCAGTAATAGTAGTAATAATAGCAACAATAGTAGTAGTACTAGTAGTGTCATCAGCAGCAGCAGCAGCAATATTAATAATAGTAATAGTAATAATTCTAGTAACAGTACTATTAACAATAATGTTAATAGTAACAATAATTGTAATTCCAATAATTTAAATATAAATTGCTGCAGCGGCAACAACAGTACCAGCAGTAGTCCTGCACCAGCAACAAATACAACAATCGCTGTTGTTGCAACGACAAGTAGCAACAGTAATAATACTAATAATAATTTAGGCAATAAAAATTTTATTAGTTACCCCGCATCTCCTTTTCCTCCACATATAATGCCCCATGGGCAAATAATTACTGCTCATACCATTGTGAATCCTCCGCCACCCGCACACCTCCCTATAATGACAACTCATCAAAGTGTTTTAGCTACTCCTTCGCACCCACACATGCATCCTCCACCTCATCCCGGTTTAGTAAACCAATCATCTCCCCAACCTCCTCCTCCAAATACAGCGATGGCTCAACCACCCATTCATGTGCAACCCTCTATTATTTCACCAAATCAGAGTCAAAATATTATTCACAGTATAAATCCACCTATACGGGAACCTGCATTGACGCCTTCACAAGTTCAAAGTCACTTGCCTCATGGAGTTCCGCATCTTCATCAACAAGGTAAAATCTAAAAATTCTCGAAAATTATAACAGGTTTACATTTAGACAACAAGAACCTAATTTAATCTTTTATTTTCAGGTCCCCAAAGCTACAGCCAAACGGCCAAAATTAACGGATTGGAGCCAAAGCCTCAAAGGCCGAATAGCATTCGGCCTCAGGGGCAACGAGCCTTTCAAGCAAGTGATCCCAGATATAATTTAGTTGATGCTAGAACAGCTTCGGCTACTAGCCACCTTCCTCCTGCTCCTTTTCCGCATTCACAACACGAAATCAAAGGTTCGGAGCAGCAACCGCAAACGGCCCCACAAGTGCAACCACCAGTGCCGCACACTCAACAACAACAACAAGCTCCTCAGCCTCCGCAAATTCAACCACCACAATCAACTAGGTAAAGATAAAATTTGTTAGCGTACATTCTCATTCATTAATAACATTTGTAGATTTTCATTAATTAATAAACGTTAATTAACTTTTTAATTTTTTAGGAAACCTACAAGAAACAGAGAAGACCAAATTGCCGATTTGAAAAAATTTGGAAATGATTTTAAATTGTCAGAAAGGGAAAGCGAGAGTAGTGAAGAGTTAAAAAATAAATCTCCTCCCGTTGATCCCTGGGGAAAAGGAAAATCTCCACCTTCTGATCAGAGTAATAGCGGTCAAATAGATAAAGTTACAAACGCTCTGAAAAAATCTACCTTAAATCCAAACGCTAAAGAATTTGTTTACAATCCCAATGCGAAACCGTTTACGCCGGTGAGTTAAAATTTTTCTTTCTTTCTTTAATTTTTAATTAATCGATAAATTTTATTTGTTAGTTATTGTTAATTTGAATTTTTTTTGTTCATTACCTGACAGAGATCACCTAGTACTCCTACACCATCCAGGCCTCATACACCTCAAACTCCTGGACCAGGAGGTTATTCGGGGCCGACAGGTCCTTTACAGACTGTGATGATGCCAGCTGCTTATGTTATGAGTCAGCCTACGGCATTTCCTCCGCAAACACAAACACAGAGATTTCCTAGAAAAAGTAAAAGGATTATTACAAATTTATTAAAAATTATAAAAGTTTTGAAGTTTTTTTAAATGCGCCATAAATTGAAAAAAAAAAAAAAATTTTTTTTGTTTTAAAGCAGCTGTCCAAATGGCACATAGGCCGGATATTGCTTCTCAAATGCAAGTTGCTGCGGCTACAGGTCAACCTTTGTTAGCTCCAGCTCCAATTCATCAATTTACAGTTCCATATAATCCTCCTCATCCTCAACCGTATCAACAGGTAATTTTGTATTTGTCACCCTAAATTTCACCCAAACAATACATTATTAACGTCGAATATTTCTCGCAGATGGTTAGAATGGTCGCGGGGCAAACGAGTCAAATGATGTTTCATCACGAAGGTACGCCACACGTTCAGTATATGAGTCCTCAAGGCCCCGGGCAACATCCCGCGGCTGCTGGACAATATCCTCCACCTCCGCAGCAAGGAGCTCCTCCGCCACCGCAACCTCCTCATTTTCCAGCTGCAATGGTTTGCCCTGTGATTCCTCCGCAAACGCATATGATGCAACAGACTGTACAATATATCCATCATCAACATCCACAAGGTGAGCAGGTGTAACTGCATGAAAAATTCATTATTATTATAATAAATCGAATCGTATTGAAATGAATTTTTGTTATTTTATCGTAAATCACAGCTGTAGGAAATCAGCAACCTCATCACATACAGGTTATATTGCCTCCTAGCCAATGATAAAACCTGTCAAAGGTCTAAAATAGTAGTTCAGCCTAAAAACGGTTCAAATTTTAACCGAGTTGTGTTGCTTAGAGAAAAGTAAGTTGATGATTATTATTATTATTAACAAATTAAAATTTAATTCGATACCAAATTAATAATTTTCTTTTTTTTTTTTTTTTTTACATAAAGGTTTTTTAAGGAGTCTTTTAGAAAATTTATTGATAGAAGGCATTCCACGCTTCTTGTTTAAAAAAATGGAAGAAAAACTTTTAAAAAAAAGTAAAAAAAAAAAAAACTGGCAAACAATTTTGCTTGATAAAATTTTTATGATAAAAGATTCACACGCTACATTTTTTTTTCAAGATGATGGCTCTACATTTCATTTTGAAATTAAAAAAAAAAAAAAAAAAAAAAAAAAAGAAAAAGAAAATATTTGTTTAGTTATTTATTTAAAAAAAGGTTGTCGTGCACATCATTAATAATTTTCAAAACTTTACGTGACGAAAGATTTTAATCTTAAAATTTTTTGTTTTCGACTATCTATTAATCTAAGTATAAAAAAAAAAAAAAAAAAAAAAAGAAAGAAAAAAAGATTAATTTTTTTTTTTTGTTACCCCCCACTATAATAATAAAATTTCTTTTGCCGCCTCCCTTAATTA